TTTTAATTGACCATAATTTTAATTTTGGTTGTATTTTTTGGCACTAAAATTTCCTACTTTAATTAATTGACAATCCAAATTTGGAAATTATTGCACTTCCCGTTCGTTTTGTTTTTGTGTAAGTGCTTAAAATCTTTGACTGCAATGTTCAGAAGACAAAAAGTTTGTGAATACAAAAACAGTACTTAAAGGTACAACAAATCATAATTAAATAAAGAGTAGTTTAAAATAGTAAAGTTAAAATAAAAACATGTAAGGAAGGGCTAAGTCCTGGATGCAACCGAACATTTTATACTCTTGCAACTTGCACGCGTTAAAGCCAGGCGATGTAAAACGTCAACCAGAGGATGGGGTTTCTAAGCTAAATTTATACATACATATAATATATATAACTCGTACACTATCCGACATATTCAGCATTAGGTTTGTTAGAAAAACGAAAAGTATTGTAGGTAGTACATGGGAGTTGGGGTAGTAACTATTCTTATGCCACATACTACAAAAATGCAATTTTCGCACCGGCTCTCATAAAGCTCTCTCATATCATCGCGGGAGTAAAATTTAAGGTCTCCTGCGTAATTATTTATTGTGCTTTTAGCTAGTTTTGAACATCACCGTTATATGGGTAGTGAGCGGGGTTATAATCCGATTTAATCCATTTTCACACGGTTGATAGGAGTTCTTATAACATTTGATCTAGCAAATTTGCTAGTTATAGCTTTAGTGGTTTAGGAGATATGTACAATAAGTCTATTAACGGGCGGGACCAAGCCTACTTTTTCAGAATTTTTACCCACAGGTGTTTTTTGCTACTTCGGTTAGTGTTCCGAATTACAGTTTTATATCTTGATTTTGTGCTGAGTTATGGTGGTTTTAGGTTTTCGGTTATTGGCGTTTTGTGGTCCGATTACGCCCATTTACGAGCTCGTACTTTTTTATACTAAGGAACCTGCATACTTTAGCAACTGGTTGCAAGAGTATAATAAAAAAATTAAAACAAATGAAATTGAAAACAAAAGTTATATAAAATTAAAAGTAGTTTAAAAAAATTTGAAT